CAGATTTGTTAATCTGTTATATATATGTGTATATGTATATATCTAATATTATGTCTTCATCCATATCTACATAAACAAACACAAACGCAATTGTGAAATATGTTTATATTTCTCTCATGGCTAAAAAAAAAAAAATAAAAAAAAAAAAAGAAAAAAAGAGAAAAAGTGTACTTCATAGGGTATGAACTGCGCAGAAATTTCGGAAATCAGCTGTCTTTATTACAGGACCGAAAATAGACTGATTTCCATTTTAGTAGTTGGTTGCTCTATAGAGTATAAGGAAAATTCATTTTATGTTTGGCTGCAGAATAGATTCAGCTACATATTCACAACACACACACATACCAATACATATATATATATATATATATATATATATATATATATATATATATATATATATATACTTGTTCCGTGTGTGCGGCTACACTAGGTGCTGGAATCCCCCCCCCCCCCCGCGGAGAAGTGATTTCGGAGGCGCCGAGAAGTCAGCCAAGAGCGAGTCCATGAAACCAAGACAAATCGAGCGGAGGCGCCCCTCGGCTCGCGGCTCTGACACTCGCGGAGCCATGACCCCCTCCCCTCAATCCCCCCCCCCCCCCCCGCCGCATCCCCTTGTTTCAATCTCCGGTCCGACTTCCCTTCACCTCCATCATCCCCTCAACCCCCTATCCCTCAAGCTCCTCACCCCACATTCCTTCACCTCCTCACCCCCCCCCATCCCTTCAGCCCTCATCACCCCCTCACACCATCCCTTCACCACCCCCCTCACCCTCCTATTCTTTCACCTCCTCACCCCTCTATCCCTTCATCCCCTCAAACCCCCCATTCCTCATCCCTTTCCTTCAGCCCTCATCACTCCCCACCCCCTATCCCTTCATCCCTCACCCCACCCCCTACATCCTTCACTTCCTCACCCCTTATCCCTTCACCACCTCAACCCCCATCTCCTCACCCCCCCTTCCCCAACCCCCTCAACCCCCCACTCCTCACCCCTTCACCGCCCATCCCACCCCCCCCTCCCCTCCTCCCCCACCCCACAGCAGCGCGATCGACCCGCCTCCAATCCCCTCCTTCGCCGACCGCCATTTTGCAACCGTGATTTTTGATTGGACACGAATCCTATTCGTCGCTAAGGAGCTTTCGGACGCGTAGCCAATCATTCCGGGGATTGCAGATCCTTCGCCGCGAATCGTAGATACACACAGCTCGGGAAATCGGGAAAATGGAGATCATTATCGCTCGAATCATGAAAAAAACACATACAACACAAAATTAATAATTAATCATAATAATAATAAAATCGATCACAGTGCAATATTCCTCGACGGAATTTTGCCTTCCTTAAAAGATAGATGTAGGTCGAAAACAAATTGATCTTGACCATAAAACGAAAAAATAACAATATGATAATAAATAAATAAAAATATAGATAGAATAAAATAGAAAGAAAAACATAGATCAAACCGATCAGATTTGGCTTTCTCATCGTTTGTAATATTTGATCCGAACTCAAGCGAAGAAAAGAATTTTGAAAATAGTTTACCATGTGGATCTGGACTCGAGAAGGAATCCAACGTCACTGTCCTGGACATGAAAAGCAATCAATGAAAAGAAGAAGTAAGGAAAAACAACCCACCGGAAGAGAGAGGCGCGAGAAAAAGAGCCCCAAAAGAGAAAGAAAAAAAAAGAAAAAAGAGAGCAGAGAGAAAAAACCCTCCCCTAAAAGAGAGAGGAGGAGAGGGAGCAGAGAGAGAGAGAGGAGAAGAGAGAGAGAGAGAGAAGAGACAAGAGAGAGAGGAGAGAGAGCCCAAAAAGGAAGTAAAAAAGAAGAGCCAAAAAAAGACATACAAAAAACGTACAGTACCAGCAGACCAAAGCACGAAATTTTTTCTCACAACCTCCCCTCCCTCCTCCCTCCCTCCTCTCCCTCCCTCAACCCTCACCTCCTCCTCACCCCGTCCTCCCTCTCACCTGCCTCTCCTCCTCTCACCTCCTCCCTTCCCTCCTCTCACCCCTCCCCTCCCTCCCTCTCACCCTCTCCCTCCCTCCCTCCCCCCCTCCTCCCTCCTCCCCCCGACCCGCCCTGATCCTCGAGCCTGAGCCCCGCCCGCTTCCGGTTAACTGGCACTGATCCTCCAGGCCTGACGCCTGCTGGAGTGTCAAGCCCCAGGATAGGAGAGCTCTCCGCTTGAACATCACAATGGCTACATCATCTGCGTTACTACACTGCTCTGACTGGGTCTCTCTTGCGACTTGCAGTGGCTCGCTTTTTCTCTGGCTTGTTGCGAGTGTGGATGCGAGCCTTTGTTGCGATTCTGAAGAGAAGTTTCATAGTTCCTCTTAGTCATTCTCTCTCTCTCTCTCTCTTCTCTCTCGTCTCTCTCTCGTCTCTCTCTCTCTCTCTCCTCTCTCTCTCTTCTCTCTCTCTACCACACACACACACACACACACACACCACACACACATACATACACACATATATTATATATATATATATATATATATATATATATATATATATATATATATATGTATGTGTGTGTGTGTGTGTGTGTGTGTGTGTGTGTGTGTGTGTGTGTGTGTGTGTGTGTGTGTGTGTGTGTGTGTGTGTGTGTTTTATTTATATGTATATATCTGTAAACACACACACACACACACACACACACACACACACACACACACACACACACACACACACACACACACACACACACACACACACACACACACCACACACACACACACACATAATACATATATATTTATATATATTATATATATATAATATATAATATATATATATAATATATATATATATATATATATATATATATATATATATATATATATATATACATAACACATACACAAACACACACAAACATACACACACGCATATACATGCAGTAAATTCAATACCTGTATCATGGAATATTTTTTTCCTTTTTTTTTTTTTTTTTTTTTTTTTGCTTTAGTTCCGCCAGTTGTATTATTTTCCCCAATGAGCGGGCATCATTACAACCATTTGCATTTCAAACATTATTCTATCAGTGTCTGTGATGTTCAGCCATCCATCCGAACGTGCAATTTTTGAGGGACAGGAAAATTTGCATTTTACATTATTTCCCGCTGCCGTTTGCTTTATGTTGCGCGCTGTGTCTGCCGCTATCTGTTGCTTTATTCAATATTTCATGTTTTTATATGTTTTATTTGCAAGACATTTTTTCGGTTTGCTTTAAAAGAATTATTAACGTGCTTTCATGTTTTCTATATTCTTTTGCTGTTGCTAATTTCATTTTCTTTTCTGTTATTATATTTTTCTCTGTTTATATATATATATATATATAATATATATATATATATATATATATATATATATATATATGCGCGCCGTTTCTGTCGAACTGTATAACAACCTTGTCATACATACATACATACATACATACATACATACATACATACATACATACACACACACACACACACACACACACACACATACATACATATATACATACATCCCTATACTTTTTAATGCTAACAATAGTCCGAAAAGCAACGTGAAAGAATGCTTTGAATTAAGAGTCCCTTTACTGAACACTTGATAAATAATCTCTTAACGAGGGAATTTTTATGCCTTTTATTCGCAGTCAGATATTAAAGACGAGACACGGAGGTAATCAAGAATGACATTTTTAATTGTACATCATTTACTACTTCTCTGAATATACTAAGGTTCTTAATTCGAGAAAAAAAAGTACATTATGCATACGAATTAGTGTGTAACCGAGAATTTCGCTTTTCGTTATATCTTTACGAAAGATGTCAAGGTAATCTTTCCGTATTTGGATAAAGAGAGAGAGAGAGAGAAAAGAAGAGAGAGAGAGAGAGAGAGAGAGAGAGAGAAGAGAGAGAGAGAGAGAGAGAGAGAGAGAGAGAGAGAGAGAGAGAGAGAGAGAGAGAGAGAGAGAGAGAGAGAGAGAGAGAGAGAAAGGTTCTGTCTGTATGTCTAATCGATCTGCCTATCTAATCTTTCTATGTTTATCTATCAGATAATCGGTCCATCTATCTATCTAATTAATCGATCTACCTATCTAATATTTCTATCTATTTATCTATCAAACAGTCTATCTGTGTGTTTATCTATCTATCTATCAATCAAATTATTAATCGATTAATCTACCTATCTAATATTTATATATGTATATCAATCTATCTCTGTTTATTTATATATCTATCAATTGATTTTATTGATCTATCGTTCTATCCATCTAATATTTATATCTACTTATCTATCAAACAATCTATCAATCTATCTAATGAATCGTTCTACCTATCTAATTTTTCCATTTATCTATAAAACAATCTATCTATCCATCTATCGATCTATCTCATAACAAAGAAAGCAGCCTAAGAACAAACTCGCTTAATCTACAACAAACACACAAAATAAAGTAATTTCAGAGCAGATCCATTACCTGTGAAGTATCAGTAAGAATATAAATCCATCGATTTCATCCAAGATCCGTTTACAGATTCAGAATCATTGATTAAATCCAACCCACACGTCCTTCTGCAATCCACATGCAAAGTTTCATTACAATCCGCATGTAACTTTTTAGATAATTCTGATAAAACAAACAAGCCATGGAAAAGCTAGTACCTACATATCCTTCTCTTCGGCGGATGTAATAATACTTGTTATCATAGCATGAACTTACAAATTCTTAATGTAATATTTTCAGTCTTCAAGAAAAAAAAAAAAAAAAAAAATTGACTGATTTCCAATTCAGGATGATAATAATGATAATAATGATAATGATAATGATAATAATGATGATGATGATGATAATAATAATAATAATAATAATAATAATGATAAAATAAAATAGATAAATAAAAATAAATAAAGGAAATAAAAATAGAAGAAAGAAAGAGAATGATAAAAAAAAAAAAAAAAAAAAAATCAGACACTAAATTGTTTACTTCCCTCTTGCACAGGTCAGAGTCGAGTCAAGGTCACCATGGCGACCCTGCAGCAGGCGGTGACGGAGGCCCTGGAGGAGCAGCTGGAACCCCTCAACACCGCCCTTAGGCTCATCCGCCTCGACGCCTTCGCAGAGAACATCCATCGACAGGTGAGTGAAGGAGGAAGCATTAAATTTATCTATCATCTGTCTGTCTCTTCCAAGGTGCCATTACGGGTGTATTACTGTCCCGATATTCTCTTTGGATGGAAGATGTAAAATGGTTCGAGAAAATATATTTCTTTCTCATTATCTGTCTTCTTTTTTTTTATATATATCTCTTCCTTTCTCGCCAAGAAATCCACTCATAGCTTTATCTCTATCTTATTTTCATCTTATGTATATCTTATTTTTATCTTGTCTGCATTCTCTTCCTTCCTCCTCCCCCTCCTTTCTTGCCCCCCCCCAAAAAAAAATCACCATCTTTCTCTATCTTATTTTCATCTTATCTGCTTTCTCCTCCCTCCTCCTCCCCCCAAAAAAAAATATCTTTATCTTAAATATCTATCTTTATCTTGTCTGCTTCTCTTCTCCTCTCCACCTCCTCCTCCTTTCCAAAAAAAAAAAAAAAAAAAAAAAAAAATCCGGCTCTCATTACCATATCAAAACATCTCACAGCCAAAGTCCAATCACCTCGCGAGGCATAATTAACGATTAATCACCTTCCTAATCACTCCAGTCCGCCTCCTTATCTCTCCCGGTTCTTCCCTCCGCAGCTGGGGACCATGGAGCACATCCAGAGTAAACTTCTGACGGAGTACGGCGAGCTGAGGGCGTCTGTGGGCGAGGTCGGGAGGAACACGCTGGAACTCA